TTCCACTGGCCTTGAGACTTTTTTCCTGGGTTGCTATTGAACTGTCGACGTTCGCCGGCTGTTTTTGAATGCTCGGGTTTCCTTGCCCACTGATTCGCTTTTTCTCCGTAGCCATGTGCTTGAGTTTGCTGTAGTCTTGGCGTACCAAATTGGTTTCGCTGTTGATATTGGCGTCTTCTTTCGACGTCCGCCGTTCTTCTACTTTCAAACTGGATTGCTAGCTCAAATAACTTTTCCAGTGTAGTCGGATTTCTTCAATTCAATAAAGTCTTGCACTTGGGGTAGTAACCTCGGCAAAATCACTTGAATTATTTCAGGATCCGGACGGTTTCCATACAAGAGCTTGAAAACGTGAATTTTTCTTAAAATAAAGCTCGAGAGGTTTTCGATTCTTTGTTGATATATACTGAAAAGTTCCTGTTTCTAATTTCGCACGATCCCTTACAACAGGGAAGGCTTTTAGTAGGGCAGTCTTGAAATTTTCGTAAGTATAGGTGGGACTTCCTGCTTGACCCAAGAGACTTCTGCCGATACATTTGAACCAGTTAAGCGCTTGGCCCCTCAAAGCGCTGGTAGCTAAGGTAACTTTTTGAAACTCGTGCACGGGGTAGAGCATGAAGTGGTCATCCAATTTTTCCAAAAAACTGGTTACCGGTGAGTTTCCATTAAACGTTGCTTCTGGTTTCATCGAAGCGCGCATGGTCTGGACGATGTACCCAAATCCTTCCAGGGCGGCAGCTGGCATTTCTGGATTCTGAGCCGTTTCTGCAGGCAGCACAGGTTCTTCTTGAAACTCGGCCATGGTTATTCTTCTTCGTTGGGCGCCACTATCAGGTTCAATGTTTCTTCTAACCTTCTTCGGAAACATACAATGACCTGACTAGGAACAGAGAGCTTACTAAAGCTATGTTCACTAATTGTAGTAAGTAGACAGGATACAGACGAAGGGTATACAAAACCCTTTATTTTTCTTTATATACAATGACTTCCGTACTTCGGAATACAATGACCCTCCACTCGGGGTCTAACGTAAAAGATATAAAAAATAAAACTAAACTCTAATTTAACTTTAGAATAATAACGTGGAAGATTGGCCTTATAATAACAGGAAGCGTATGTAGCACAGAGACTGTGAACACTACAATACGTTTAATTTATCAAGAGGATTAAAACCTCTGGCCTGGAAGGCAAAGTAGCAACTGCGTAACTTCTAAGGTAAGCGGCCTGCTTCGAACTCACTGCTTCCTCTCTTTCGCTTGGCAAAAAGGCCACACTTAAATACTTGGCGTTCGCCAGACAAACTTTGCATAAAACTCCTTCACGCTTATAATTCTGGCCGGAAGTAGAAAATAAGAAGTGATAGTAAAGATTTAAAATAAATAAACGTTAGTAAACTAGATCTACATATACCTTAAAATAACGTATTTCTTCCTATGGTTTAGTATAATATATCAAATTTCTAAAGCTAGGGTTCCATAATTTTATAAATTATAAATATGAGGCTAGTATAGAAATTTAGTATGCAAAGTTGCGCATGATATGCAAATGATTAGAATTGCAAATCCGTAGCGCATGCGTATGCTGAGCAGCGCCCTCTGAACGGCTGATGGATCCGAATAAATAGACGGCTGTAGCGAGGCGTGTATGGTTATCGGTGGTTATCTCGTGGTGTTCTGCTAGTGGTTTAAACTAACTCAAGTTTCTATCTGTACTTATGCTCGCTAGTCGACGAAAGAGAGCGAGATTTGAACAACTTACAGAGTTTGAACGAGGGAGAATCATCGGCCTTCGTGAAGCGGATTGTCGTATCGTGCAGTAGCCTCTCGTGTGCAGCGTAACAGCAGCACAGTGATGCGCGTTTGGAAGCAGTGGACGGACGAGTGTCGGACAACTCGGAAATCCGGGAGTGGACCCCGAAATGTGACGTCAGCTCGCGATGATAGACACCTTGTCCGCATGGCGCGGACGGACCGTACAGCTTCCTCTAGACAATTGGCCGCACACTGTGGTCAATAGCTACAGGTGTTTTCATTGTGTGCTTCATCAATTCGTAGACGTCTGCTGCAGTGTGGACTGCGCGCGCACGGACTCCTTTATACAGGATCCCCCCTAACGCACGACCATCGCCGCCTGTGGCTACAATGGGCCAATCAGAATAGAGACTGGCGTGCTTGATTAGCAGCATGTCGTGTTTTCTGACGAATCCCGCTTTAATTTGTGGTACCATGATGGCCGCATTCGTGTCAGACGCTATGCCGGTGAACGCCACCTTCCGGAGTGCATTATCGAACGCCCAAGTGGACGAACACCCCGGAGTTATGGTCTGGGGCGCCATAGCATATCATAGAGACGATCTCAATTGCTACGAATTGTGGGCAATCTGAACAGCAACTGGTATATCCGTGAAGTTCTACAGCCCCGAAGCTGTTTCCCTTCCTTCAAAGCTTGCCAGGCGCTGTATTTCAACAGGACAATGCCCCGCCCTCATACTGCTCGGATTGTTAAATCCTTCTTTGCAGCGCAGCAGGTACAGCTTCTTCCTTGGCCTGCGTGTTCCCCGGATATGTCGCCAATTGAACATGTGTGGGATGTCATTGGTCGGCGTCTTGCTCGTGATCCTCGTCCTGTTGCGTCTGCAGACGAACTTTGGGTACGCGTACAAACGATATGGAATGCTCTTCCTCAGTCAGACATTCAAACTTTGTTTGACTCCATGCCACGTCGTGTAGCAGCACTTATTGCGGCGCGTGGTGGCCACACAAAATATTGATTCTGATCTCTTGTTATTGTTTGTTTGCTTTGAACATTTAATCATTTATTTGTACCACTACCACTCAACTGTGTATTAAATTGCATTCAATTATGACGATTCCTTCTTGGTGTTGCAATTTTCACAAACGTGAGTGTATATCTTAAGTATTAAGTATAAGTAAAATGACTTAAGTAACAAGTGTTGCGTATAATATTTTAAGTACTGTATCACCCAGTATATATTTCCTGTATCCTGTATGTACCATCCTGTATATATCTTTAGTATTAATTATTATGACATAAGTGTTGCGCATTATATTTTCAGCACTGTGTCACCCTGCATATATTTCCTGTATCCTGCATGTATCATCACGTACATATCTTAAGTATTAAGCATTAAGTAATATGACGTAAGTATTACGTATTGTGCATCGTATTTTAAGTATTGTGTCATCCCGTACATATCTCCTATACCTTGTATATATCATCTTGTATATACCTACCGAATTAACCATTCAGTATTATGACTTAAGTATTAAGTATAGCGCATTATATTTTAAGTACTGTGTCATCCTGTACATACTTCCGCACAACGTACCGTGCACTATGTTCTACATAATAATGTCTTAAGTATTGCGTACTCTATCAAGTATAGTATGACGTGCTGTTTCATCATATTGTACTAAATTTATAGTTGTACTAATATATTATATCTTAAGTAATGCGTTTTATAGTAAATAGTATTATAGTAAATATTTAGTTTTATAGTAAATGTAGTGTAATGTGTCATCATAATGTACTAAATATAGAGTTGTACTAATATATAATATCTTACGTAATAAGTATTGTAGTAACATCTATGTACTATGCATTAAGTCCCGCATTATGTACCTAAACCATCTTTAAGTATTTATCCCTACGATATGTACCACGTCCTAGAGTAATTCTTAGGCGTTCAATCCTCCTTTTATATTGTAAGGATTATGTTAATTTTATTAACAGTCAAATTTTAAGTTAAAGTTCCTTTCCTGTCAAATTCTTAACTTCAACTTACTACTTCCGGCCAGAACGTACTTTCGGAATCTTGCTGAATATTTAATGAGGAGGAGCGGTATTTAAACCACGAAGTTACTTACTGAGTCGGAGAGAATCAGTTTCTGATTTACGCGCGTCTGCCTTTTTGGCCCACTCTCTCTCTCAAAGCTGTTATTACGCTCGGCCATACTCAAGTCGTTGCTAAGCTTCGTATAAGTTAAGGGGCCAACTCGAATTGAACCTTGATAACTTCGGCTATACTTCTTTAGTTAATCTTAGTTTTAGTTTAATTCTTAGTCTTTGAAGTTCAAGTCCAAGTGCGGGCTTTGCTTGTACAATCCTAGGTGGAGTTTTGTTAAATCTTATTGGAATAATAAAGGTTTAGTTACCCTTCTATGTTGTTGTTTCTTGTCACCGGACGCAAGCGATTATTCGCTTATCAGTTCTTAGATTCTTCACTTCCAACATTAACTTAGAATTCCAAATTGAGGAACTCTACAATATTATATGTCTTTGTGTGTTTATTTTATGTGTTATGTGTGTGTATATGTGCTGTGTTCAGTGTGTGTTATGTGTTTACTTTGTTGCGTTTTTGTAGTATTTGTTTTCTATTTTCTGTTTTTATGTGTTATTCATTATGTAATATACTTTGCATGTCACCTCAACCATATATGTAATCCACCAACTTGTCAAACAATTGTCCCTGTATGGCCTTGTAAACTGTTCTTAAATCTTAAATAAACTCCCGCGGCGGCCTCGTGCGGTTCTAGGGAGTTGTTGCCTGTGGAAAGTGGAGGACGCGGGGCATATGCTTGTTTAAATCTTAAATAAACTCCCGGCGCGGCCTCGTGCGGTTCTAGGGAGTTGTTGCCTGTGGATAGTGGAGGACGCGGGGCATATGCTTGTTTACCTCTGTTAAACACCAGGCGTCCCCGTCCTCCGTCACCTGCTGGGTATTTCGCAACAACATAGTGCTTTAAAAATGAGAGTACTTCACATATTTAGAGCTTAAATTTTCTTTAATAATTAAAAAAACCTGAATGTCACATGGACATAGATTAATGTGATATGTTTATTCTTGCATAACAGGGCTTGATACTGTTATGATAATATTATTTACGTGCAATAAAACATGAATTTTAATTGCAGTTTTCGACTTGTATATCTGACACATATTAAAAAAGGGAAGTCATATGAAATAATGAGACTACAAAATATGTCAATGAACATTTATTTCAAAATTTAACAAAACAAAATTACGTTTCCTTATATGTAGGTTAGGCACACCTAATTTTCTCAAATGTAGTTTTATTCGAAAAGCATAAAACCATGTTAAAAGCATTATACTTAATTTTTAAAATTATCACAAAACTTTTTTTTTTTTTTTTTTTTTTTTTTTTTTGAGAACAGCAGCTGCGATTAATGCTTTAAGACCCAAAATGTCTAAAATTTCGTTAATGTAAAACTTGTTCTTAATAGTCGCACTAAGAATGTATCGATGACTAATTAATATTTTCGGGTTGTAAAGAAAATTTTGTTTGCTTAATTTGCTTCAAATAACGGAAAACATTTTCGCAGTTACATTTCTCAAAAATACATAAATACATGAGAAATTCTAGAAATATGTGATCATTAATAACTATACAAATATTTAGTTTAGAAAATATGAATTTTAGCATTATCGACATGTTTTCTTAGTGGAGCGCCTTTGTTACAAAAGCAGTTGTCAAAGGTACAAAGTCCCTATTTTTTTGTTATGATGTCCATTCAATGATTTATTGTTCAATGATTCTAAAGTAAAATTAAGTTTTCTATTTTCAACGTCGCTAAATATGTTTTCGCCGTTTCTGTGCTTACGAAAATTTTCTACTTGATTAACGGTAGCAAAAATATCGGTTAAGGACTTTGGTCTCTGTAGCCTATTCCTTTTCTCGCCTTTTTTATGTTTCGAATTTCCAGAACTAAAAGAAATTTTATCTCCTGAATTGCTGGAATCGAGTGTGTCAAAATCAATAGCTAAATTTATAAGCGATTTGTAACGTATATTAAATAATGGCGACGTAGTTAATGATTTGCTACGAGTTGTCCGATGGCGGGGACCAATTTTTTGTATAGGCACTTCTTTTGATGCAGAACTTTTCAAGTGTTTGAAGAATCGAGATTTATGCTGAATTCTATGCTGAGCTGGACTTTTCATTAAGATTTTTTTTACGCAATGGTTATTGTGATGAGGGATAAAGAGTTTATCAGTAGAGTTCGTTTTTGCTGGTGTTTCTGAGCTATTTTTAGAAGAATAGTTCTTCGCACCAACTGTTTCATAAATATGGCCTTCTACAAGGTCCGTGTCTTTCGACTGCTCATTAGATTTAGTCGAAACTTTGTTATTAAGATCTACCGGTGTGCTTGAAATATCATCCTTAGACAGTCTTCGTACAGGAATAGTTTCCACTGGTGGTGGTTCAGGCTTTTCTTCTGGAATTTCAGAAGTGTCTGTAGAATCTGTTGTTATAGGTGAAGAAGATGGGGTTGTAGTAGAATTCGCTGAATGTTCAATGTTTCCGTTAATATCACCATTTACGTTATCCACTGTCTTTGAAGGAAGTGGAGCAAATCCTCGAACGTAATCGTAAATTTGGTCAATTTCATCGTAATTATCATCGACAGTGTCCGGTTTAATTTCTTTTGGAGTTTCATTAGCAAGAGCTACTGGCATAGCATTATCATTGTATTTTGAATTCGGATCAGAAACACTACGCTGAACGCGATGATTTACAGGAAAGTTCTTCAGTCGCTGCTTTGAGTGTGATTTTTCTGCTCTAAGCTCTTTTGAAAGAGAAATATCGAAAACTTGAATTTTATTTGAAACATCTTGCATTATGCTCTTGCACTTCTCCACCAGAATATCGTATATTTTAAGCTTCATCAAAATTTCCGGATTTCTGGGAGCTTGGACCTTCAGCGGTGCTGAAGGTGGAAGAGCAACAACAGGAGAATCTTTAAACAGAGGAAGGGCCAAGATACTCTCTTCTTCAAAAAGAGAATATAACCTCATTTCTGTTACGAAATGAGAATTATTCTTTATGCCTGAGGGTGGTTTCCCATGGACAAGTCGAACCATTAAAGGAAACCTTTTAGATAAAAGATTTTTTATTGTATGCACGCCAGATATGTTATCTTCTCCTGCAATTGGACTAAATTTGCCTTTCTGGTCTGCACTGAGAAAAATAGTTTCACCTTTAGTCGTGAAGCAGCGCAAGTACCGCCCGGAAGATTTTGATCTTACTGGCGTTACATACACTTCACTAACAAGAACTAAAGTTTCCCCTGAATTTACTATTCTTGTTTTATCAGACATTATTTCAGCATCATCAGTTTTGGCTAAATGTGCTTTAATATTTTCTCGCACAAGACATGTTTCTGGAAACCTCTTCAATAGTTCCGCAACACTTTCGATACTTCGAACAGCACGTCCATCTTCGGACAATATTTCGAACCATCCGTCATAAGTATCAGGGATAGCCAGCTTTGTTCCAATAGGAATAACACGGTTTCCATCTTTGAATTTAACACACTGAGCGGCAACTTTAATTTGTTTTCCTGTTTGAGCTAGTAACACAATTTGATTAAGAGAGGAACAAGACAAACTGGGTACGCCCAAACTCAAGTACTGGCCTTTTGTTACCTTAGCAACTTGAGGCAAGGAGAATTTCTGGGCAAAGTCTTGCAGGTAATATTCTTCATCCTCCCATTTCACATCAGCTAAATATGTACTAGATATAAGTCCTGACATATTATCACTTAAGTTTGAAACAAATACGATAGCTGCAAGAATAAGGAGTTCGTTCTCTAGTATTCAAAGCTGAATTACTTAATCCATCCATTTGCTTACCGGCACTATTTCTAAGAAAAACCGATTTTCTTCTGATAGTTCTTCTTCAAATACAGCCTAGGGCGGAATCTGAAAAAAAATATTAAGAATTAAATTACATTAAAATAATTATTTGTTTCTGCAATACAAAAGCAATTAAGGAATAAAACATCACAATTAGATTTAAACTATTCAAATGTTAATTAATTCAAACTATTAAAAAACTATTCTATAACTCTTAGGAAGAGACTCAAATGTTTATGAAAAGAGCTCTATTCGATTTCAATGGCCCTTTTTGTCAGAGAGCTAAACATTTCCACCTATACTTATCAAGAAATTTAAAATACTGGAAAATTTTGATGTTATTATTTTGACAGAGATATACATTTTTAGAAGCTGCCCGGGTTCGAATGCCGGAGAAGGCATTGGATGTAAAATTGTCTGTCCTTTTATAGGAGGTAACGGTGTATTAGGTGCCTCCACAATAAAATCATCACCAATTCTGGCTTCAGTAGTGGCCATTGCCGTTATATGCAGGTGCCCGAAATTGGGGAAAAATTTTTTTAGAATTCCCTTTATCTTTTGAATGATCGTGGACGCATATTATATGGCCATCAGACACACATACACACATACTCATTCTGCAATTATCTGTTAAGGAAATGCTGACAGCCAAAATGTTAAAAAGAATGTTAAATTATGCAGAGAGCCACCTTCAAAATTTTCTCAACACAGCACTGCAGGGGAAATTTTTATATATTTTCTCCTGCTAAATAACAACCTATAATCAAAGTAATAACCTATACTTCTGAAAAATTATCAGATTTTAATGCACGATTCTAAATAAAAAAAATAATACGATTTCCAGATATAGTTTGAATTTTTAGCTTCCCCATTATGGTAAATAAAGAAAAAGTACCGATATTATTAATATTACTTACAATGTATTTGCAGTTTACTGAGTTTATAAATTCGGAATCGAAGGTTTAAAAGGTACATTTACCTAAGTAATCAAGTTATTGTAGGTTACCGATTTAATTGGAAATTCAAAAGATGTGAAGAGGCACAGCCAGAAATATTTTTCATCCGATTACTAAAGGGCTTTAAAAATTGCCCATAAGAATGTTTTTCTGATGTAAATGAAAGTGAATTTATCTAAACTTGAGATACCATATCGGCCATTCACTGCACACGTTAAAATGTATGCAATAAAATTCTCCATCGAAATTGAAATATCAGTTCTGCACAATATTTAACAGATAGTAAAACTTTAAATAAGTATATTTTCATAGTGTGAGTTCATACTCAGGGAAATAAATATTACTAATGAAACACAAACTTTTGGAAGTATGGTAAAATCCTCTAATATTTTTTCCAATGCCTCATTAAGCTCATTCTAGTTTCATTATCTATTTATTGCATTTGAAGCTGCACCCAAAATATTTTCGAATGTTTTTAAGAGTTATGTTAGTCTATAATGTAAACAATGTTAGAAAACTCAAATTATGAACTCTTTTGTGATGGTGATATATAAGGTATTTTCTCTCTCATTTATGCATGCATTCGTGGTGTAACGGTAGCACACTCGGCGCGTATTTGACAGGTCCAGGTTCGAGTCCCGGCAAGACCATTGCTCATTTTTCATGTCTCCTGCTTCGAAATAACCTAATGTCTCTACAGTGGTGCCCGAACCAAAACATATGGTGGATGATGATTCTCCACCACCAGGATTTGGCGATTGGGTCCCCCTAATCCCCAGTCCCCTTTAAAAGGGAGAGTATATAAGGCATTTCTCCCGCCTTCTTAGCATGTCTTCGTGGTATAATGGCCAGCACACTCGGGGCGTATTCCAGAGGCCTGAGGTTCGAGTCCCGGCCAGGGCACTGATCATTTTTCATGTCTCCTGCTTCGAAATAGCTTAATGTCTTCCCAAAGTAATCTAGCTGTTATTTAGTGGTTTTGCACAATTTACGTAGTGTCTGACTGGGCATAGTCCGTATATGAATTATTTACATCGCTTTGGCTTGTGGCAGAAGAATAAGTACACATGTTCGGTGATTGGTGATTACGACCATTTCCAACTTCACAAGCCTGCTGCAGGTAACTCTAACATTGCGGGCAAATTACACCTGCAAAAGTCAGTAATGCTCCTAAGCGTATAATGGAATTCACAAGCATAGCAAAGAGAATTTTTAATAGAGTGCACAAGAACAGCAAAGAGAATTTCTAACAGCACGGATTCATTTTTCGTACACTTCAATTTTTACTATACTGCCAGCATTGTTATTTATATATACGTTTTATGTTCTCCTTTGTCTTTATTTGTATGCTGTAAATAATTCTTATTGTCACTTATTACTGACTTTTGAGTTTGAACAGATAATGAGGTGACCATACCTCCGGAATTTCCCGGGACGCGTAATGGCAAACCGCACATTGAGTTGATCAATGTTAGGCGAATTTCGCTTACTACGCATGCCCAGAATATAATTTGGTGCAATTGCAACTTTGGCGCAATTCTTAAAGAAGATAAATACGGTATATGGTTGATATTGTGTTATCTGTGTGTTAAACAGTTCAGGGTTTTAAAACTTGTTAGGTTGTAAGTTGCTTCATTACATAGAATGTAACTATCGATTGTATACTACGCAAATTTTAGTTTAAAAAGGATTACAAAACAGGAAAGATTACAAAATATATTAACCAAATGCTTATTGATTATAATTCTGAGGAATAAAAGCAATTGAGTATTTATCATACGTTCCATTTCTATATACTTTAACAAATTAAGGAATAAATTCAGCTTAAATTACAGAATTAAAGTCAAATAACTGATATTAAATGTAATGTTTATGAATAAAATAAGCCAAAATGAAATGAAACAGGAGCACACGCAATAAGCACACAAATTTCCGGAGTATTTCAATTGTAAACAGTAAATCAAATATGACAAACAAGCTTGTGTAGGGTTGCTTATGCTTAGTCGCCAGAATTTGATCTCACGCCAACGGTACACCATTGAGCATGCGCAGTAAGCGAAATTCTTTAACATTGATCAATTCAATGTGCGGTTTGCCATTACGCTCCCGGGACAGCCATGATTTCTTACAACTCCTTTTTTGGTCCCGAAGTTACAGCACTTGTCCCGAAAAACAATAGTTGGAGAACGTAAAAGTTGGAATGCTCCATACCGGCCGCATAAACCCCAATTCCCCATCTAACGTTTACCTTAGAAAAATTGTAGTGGGGCAGTTCTATTTCTCACTCCTGTATTTCTCTCCCCAGCCCCCAACATACACGGAATTTTTGCTCACAGCTCACAGTTTCAGTTCAGACTTTAACTTACAGACAGCATTACAATTTTTAATTGATATATTAATACGATTGTGATTTGAATTTATAACATATACATATATTTTTAAATTATCAGAGCTGCATTACATTTATGTTCAAAGGTTCATTACATACATTAGTGTGTACCATTCCTTTACACATTATTATAGGAAGTCTAAAAATAATTCTTTTATCATTTGCTGAAATTTCATTGCAAATATATCCATCTAAAACCATCTCTTCTTTTGGCACGTTTAGATCGTAACATTTTTATTCCATCGCCAGTTTGATTTGGCATAAGTGTTAAAAAAAGTTTTAAAAAATCTACCGAAACGATGACATGTAATTGTGTTTTCCTTTTAGTAATGACATACATTTTTTATTTATGAACGGTGCATTACATACGTGATAAGGGTATGTTTTATTGAAGTTTAATTTATCATTTATTTTCCCCATTGACTTCTTTTTATTTACAGGTTCAAAAAAAAGAAAGTGTACATTTAACGAAGACCTACAGAAAGAATACACTTGTACTGAAAAAACTATAAACGATTTCGAAGTACGGTGTAATTTATGTTCTTTAAAATTTTCAATAAGCCATGGTGGACGTACAGATATTACATTTCATAAAAATAATAATAAATATAAAATATAAAATGTCAGACTCTGCTGCTGCATCTAGCTTGTCACAGAAGAATTTCTCCAAACAGAAGAACATAGATGATAAGGAAGAAGAATTAGCTGCAGTAGGTAGTACTTTTATACACCATACTATTTGCCGCAAACCATAGCTTTAGGTCTATGGATTGTCCGTCCAAGCTGCTTCAAGTGGCATTTGAGCCTAAATTTACATGTGCGTAAACCAGGGCCAAAGCAATAATAGTAAATGTTTTCATACCTTACGCTTTAAGAGCAAAGTGATTTGGAAAGATGTTCATTTGTTTTAATCACAACTAATGCTTCCAATCGCAAGGAAATAAAGCTTTTTCCAGTACTTGTTAGATTTATAGATAGGAGTTATAGAGCTAGAGTAAAATTTTTAGAATTTAAATCCTTAGCTGGTGAAACATATAATATTGTCAGCAACTCTTTCACTATCTGTCTTGAAGAAAATAATTTTAAAGGAAACGCCACTGTCTTTGTGCCGATAATATGAGTTCTAATTTTGCAGGAGCTGAGAGAAGTGCAGAAAATATTTTTTTTTGTTGTTGTTAAACTGAAACGAACCCCTAACATGGTTTAACTAGAGTCAAATATGCAGCACATACTAACCATAACACTATAAAAACAACAGCTGATGGTTTTCCATTTGATATAGGAATGATTATTTCTAAGGTATACTTTAAATCTTATACTGTTGGAATAGAAACATTGAAAAATTTCTGCAACTTCGTAGAACAAATTTTTAGTGATACTAGAGTATTCACAAACAAGATTCTTAATATTACTCCCCGCCATTGAAAGGGTACTCCAAATGTTTTTACCACTGAACGGTTATTTTCAATCTCAAGAAAATTGCCTCATGTTTACTTTAAAATTCTTTGAAATTCGAGTGGCAGAAGCTTGGCTACATTTTATTAGCACGCAGGCTTCAATGTTTCACAAGGTTACTGCAACCACTGAACATCAAACTCCGTTTTTATTTGATGTATTTGCTTCAACAGATGCTCTGAAAGCTTCAAATTGAGCAAGGTAGAGAAAACCTTTATTCCAATAAATGTTAAAAAACCGCTAGAAAAACTTGAAGAGAATGG